TTAGGGCTTGAGATGGGAGTGAAAGGCTATGGGAGAGAGCGATGGTGTGAGGAGGCGGAAAAGTAGTCCTGAGGGTGTAAAAAGAAAATAGGGAGAAGTATTAAAAAAAATTAAAAAAGAGTTATTTTCAAATAATTTTGGTTATTCGGTTCTAATCGAATTATTTAAAAAAAAAACCGAACTAAACATTGATAATCAAAATAACCGAAAAAAATAAAAACTGAATTAACCGAATCCAAAAAAACGAATTGAGTTTGGTTCGGTGTTCGATTTGGGTTCGGTTTTACTTACCCCTAAGTTGTACTGAGTTATAATTAGATTAATAGTTGACGGACTAAAAGATTAATGTTCTCAAAATATAAATTAAAATTAGTTTTTCGTGTAATTATCACATTACCTTATATTTTTTTTTAGTAATTTGAATATTGAAGAAAAGTGACTGTGACATCTGAACACTCTCATTTTATCAAAACTATTTTTTCCATAAAATTTATTATTTTAAAATCTATTCTCAAAATAATTTTTTTAATTTTTTTGGAAGTTATTTTCTAAAAGCTGATCCAAACACACTTATTATTCTATTTTTGTTGATTTTGATTCTCCAACACTGTTGATAATTTATTCATCTTTTGATATTTGACCAAAAATAAAAATTATTTTCCTATAAAAAGTTTGCATTCAATCTGAATTTTTTTTTGCACATATTTGAACAGTATGTTTTTAGTTTGTTTTATGTTTTTGTTTTGACGTAAAATTTATAAAAGCTAAAAACTTATTACAAAGTTTCTTATATTTATTATGTCAATTTCTCCCATCACAGCATGATTGTGATTGGAGAACTTGACGTTGTGGATATAAAGAATTTGATATAAGTATTGTCATTTTCAAAAAATAATTTTATACTATGTATTGAATATATATATATAGATAAATATTTGTTTGTTTTATAAAAAATAAAAACAAAAATATAAAACAAGCTAAAAATAAAGAAAAATATCAATTAAACATAGATGAAATAATCAAGATTCAAAATTGAAATAAGTCTACACCTACTTTTAATTTTTTATTAAGGGGGTATTCTGTATTTTTAACAAAAATAATTTTTTTAAATAAGTCTCTTGATTTGATTAGGAATTTATTAAAAATATAATTTTGATTTTGAATTTTGATATTTATGCTAAATTTAATTAAAATTTTGTCTTTTTGTATACTTTAATCATCTCTATTTCATTGTTAGGCTAAGACCTATCTAACATTTTTTGAAATATTTTTTCAGATGTAAAAGTATTTTATTATGTATTTAACATGTTAAAGTGTTTTTTTTCGAGTGCTGCCAACATTATAAATTATAATTTGGTGTATTCAATACTCTGAAATATTTTTTTAATATTCATCCAATACCCTACATTACTTTTTTTGGTACATCCTATATCCTAAACTGCTAAGTGCAAAATTGCAGTAAAAAATATTTTAGAATGTTGAATACACTTAAAAAAATAGTTCAAGAAGCTAGAAATACCATAAAATACTTTAAGATATTAAATATACTTAAAAAAAAACTTCAATGTACTGTGCCTTGACCCTTCATTGTCTTGAGAACTTGGGCTTTTTTTACTTGTATACTGCAAACAAAACAAACGTTAAAAATAAATTCAAGAAATCATATACAATAAAAAATATGTACTAAAAATACTGTAATCAAAATCACTTAGGCCAGGAACGACGTATTCGAAGAAAGTAAACTCTTTCTCACAATAAATGATTTCACTTTTTCTCTTACATTTAACACTCTTCACCATTTATTAAGAAATCACTTTTTCCCCCACTTTTCATTTAGCGTGAATGATTTTCAATGCAGCATTTTAGTAATTAGTAAATACTGTTTACTGTGTGCCTGGGGTTCTTTTTTCTTTTTTTTTAAATAGCCCAGAACTTGAGGTCTTAAATGTTACTCCTCTGATCTTTAATATAGGACCCAATTATTGAGTTAGGTTTGGTATTAAATATAAGACACATTTATCATATTTATTAATTTTCTCTAAATTACCCTTATGGATACTCCCTCAACTATAATCAGATAGAAGAGGAAGAAGGGGTATTAAGAAAGATAATTATGGTATTTTAAGAAAAATGTGTCACTTTTCTTATAATTAACTAACTTATCTAACTTTTTTAATCTAATCAAATTAGTTAAATGGATTTTATATTAAAAACGGGAGGAGTATTATTTCTCTCGAGGGTCTACAATGTCATTTTGGCCAAATGTTTTGAACTGGGAAATTACGATGTTATATAGTTTGTTTGGCTAAGACTGTTAGCGTGCAAAGCACCGTGACATGCGTCAACACTCAACGCGGCCCTTTTTGACTGTTCAGTGAGACTAAACTTTGGATTTCGGCGACGCTTTAATTTCGCTCTTACATTTTCCTTCTTTATTCACTTTTTTGTCCGCTGGAATTTCCTTCTCTATTGACTACAGGGATAATAACAATATTATTGTTGTTGTTGTACCACCGGATATGCTTCATATTATATTACAGGTTAAAATATATATTTGGTCTTTTGATTTTATGTGAAGTTTCAGTTTAGTCTTAATTTTAAAAAGTATACTTTTAGTCCTTCAATCTTAAAATTATTAATATTAAATGATAATTTTTTTTGTAATAATCATAATTATTTTGAAAATTAAACTTAATATGTTAATATTTGGTAATGTGTTATCAATATTGAAGAGCTCAATATCATCATTTTTTATTAACGATTATATGGTTAGAGGATTAAAAGTTTACTTTTTAAAGTTAAGGAACTAAAGTGAAACTTATGTAAAGATAAAGGACTAAAAGTATACTTTAACTTATATTATATTTTTCTTATATTTTATTGAAATATGACGTGCTATAACAATTTACAAACGTTGGTTTGAAGACTTGCCATGTCAGGTAACAAAAATTATAAATAAAAAAAATTGCCATGTGACCAATTATAAAAAGGACTCATATATAGATGTGCGCATTTAAAAAATATATAAAAAGCTATATCAATTTCAATCTGAAATATAGTATATATAAGAAGCATTCATGAATAATTCAGCTCCTTATTTTTTTTACATTTCGTCAAATTTTGTGTAATTCATTTTTATATATTACCTTCTTAATATAGAATTTAGTTTATAGTTCAAATTAAACCTTCAAATTAAAATTTAATATAAATTGTAAATTAGATCTTATATTAAGGATTCAAAGTAATATTTTGAGAGAATTTAAATAATAAAAAATATAATTTAAGTAAAAATTTAAGTTATATCATATACGAAAAATATTTAGGTTTTTCCAAATGAAAATAATTAAATATGTGAAAAGGTTATGATGATATCCGGTTTCGTAACGCATTAGATTACAGGCGGGGGGCGTGAGGAACACAAAATCATGTGTACGGCTAGATATTTCGATTGACGAAAATGCCCTTCGTCTCTATCATTATCCCATACTTGACCCTCTAACAGCGCCTCTTTGCCCGCGGTTCCTTGAAGACTTGGGGTATATTTGGATCTCCGTTTTGAGATCCAAACGTGCCTTGGAAATTGTAATAAGCCAGTTAGGGGCGTTCTGAGCTAAACTCATTGTTTGGATAGGTAGCTTTTCAACCTGACTTCTAAAAAAAAGCTCCTTATTTCTCAACGCTCCCAGAAGCAACTTTTCCACCGTTTCAAATGCATATTACCGTTATTAATGAATATTAATTTCTCTCACCTATCTACCGAACCAGTGCCTCTCTCAAAGCTTCACCATTCCAACCTCAGAGATCTACCGGACCCAACGCAAAACACTCTGATCCCTCACTCTCGGCACTCGCCTATCTCTACCTAACAGAGCTGAGAAGGCGTGCGTAGCATTCGGCCGTGTTTCAACTCCCTCACTCTCGGCACTCTCTCTTCGGTGCTCTTGCTGGCGTCTCCGTCCATCGGTCTCGGCTGCGTCTCCGTTCGTCGGTCTCTCTGGCGCCTCTGTCGGTGGGTGTCGACGGCTCTGCTCCCTGGGTGTGGCTGCGTCTCCATCCGTCGCTCTCTCTGCCGTCTCTGTCTGATTCCCGTGTCGACGGCTCTGCTCCCCCTCCATCAAAACAGATCTGGGTGTGGCTGCGTCTCTATCCGTCGCTCTCTCTGCCGTCTCTGTCCGTGGGTGTCGACGGCTTTGCTCCCTCCTTCGCTGAAGGTTGTTCGAGCCATCGCTGGTGTGTTTTTCTTCTCTTCCCTGTTCGGCTCTCAGCTCCCTCCACCGCTGAAGGCTTTGTTTTTTCTTCCTTCTCTGATTGTTGATTGTAGATGCTATCTGAATATGTGCACTCCGGGCTGTTACTCCTTCTTCGGCTGAATCAGTTTGTGTGTGCATATGTGTGAATTTGAACTGAATGGCTTTAATTAATGGTGTATGGCTGTAATTATGGACGTGTGAATGCCGTTTTGACCGAAGCATATGGGTTTTTTGGCTCCTCGGAGAATTTCATTTTGTTGACCGAAGCATATCAGTGATGGGAAGATGGGGAGGAATGTGAAATGAATGAATTAAACTGAGTCAAGGGTAGATGGGGACGAATGAATGTGTGAAGCAAGGGGGGAAAAGAAATTATACATTTGTTGAAATTGCCTTGGTTGTCTGCATTGAACAATAGTTTGGCTTGAATTTTGTTAGATATTATGTTATACTGCGTGGTTGGAATTTTTGTTATACTGCGTGGTTGGAATTTTTGAGTTAAAGGAAAAGAGTATTTTTGGTGCTATGAGCTTCATGTATCATGATTGAGAATGGGTGGTGTAATTGTGTGCTGAATCCAAATACTGATAAGTTCCTATTTTTCTGCATGTTTGTAACGTAAGGCAGAGCTTGAATTAATTCACTTTTTGTGATTTGATTTACATGTATTATGGGTCTATACTATTTGATTATACTGCTTGATTCTTGACTAATTGTGGGTTTGATATATATGTAATTTCAACAAGAACTATGAGTAACGATAAAGGCAAAGCACATTGGGATGTGAGCACCACAGGTGTATTTCTGAAAATATGTGTTGATCGGATTTATAACAAGCTTCGTCAAGGATCTTCATTTACAAAACCAGGTTGGGACAATATTCATAGAGAATTCAATGAAAAGACAGGGAAAGGATATGAAAAAAAACAGCTGAAAAATAGATTAGATAATTTGAGAAAAGAGTGGAAGACATTTGATAAACTAATTGCTAAGGAGACCGGCATAGGGTGGGACCCTGAAAGGAACACGGTGGTGGCATCTGATGAGTAGTGGGAGAGGAAATTACGGGTATGAAGTAGCTTATGTTAATTTATAAGTAGTATTATACTTTTGGAATCAATTTAATTATAGTTTACTTTTGACTTTGCAAGAAAATCCAGCATATGAAAAGTTTAGGCACTATGGGTTAAGGTTTTGCACTGAATTGGAAACTATATTCAAGGACACTATGGCATCAGGAGATGATATGTGGGCACCATCTTGGACCGAGCCTGCACCACAGAGGGGTGATCAGCCAAATGACTACCAACCAACAATGGATTAGCAAGAAGGTTCAGGGGATAGGCAAGAAGGTTCAGGGGATAGTGAAGAAGACATTGGACGCCGTGCAGGAGTTTCAGACTTTTTGGACGGCATCAATTTAATTGCAAACACATCGAACACTGCACCCACTGTACCTAGTGCTTCAGGGAGTCAAGGGAAGAGGAAGAGAGGTGAAGGGTTGGACAAGTACAAGAAGCAAAAGATGCCAGCGACAAGAAGAATAGCAGATTCAGTAAGTTCGATTGAAAAGGCTTCAATTAGTACAGCAGAGGCAATAAACAAAATCTGCAACAGTGATAACACTACTGAGCTTACTGCTGATCTACTGAGTATGCCTGAAATAGTCAATGACTTACAACTTTGTGTGACATGTTGTAATCTGCTGGCTAACAAGACATTCAGGGACATATATGCTGGTTTGAGAGAAAATCGGGAGGTATTAATAGCTTGGTTGAAGCATAATGCTGCGAACCCCCCGCCATATGCTGCACCGAAGAACCCCCCGCCATAGCTTGGTTGAGTTGTGCCTAGTGACTTGTTATGATTTCTGTTTATCTATCATAATGTATTTGGTTATTGTGTGTCATGACGATGTGTTTAATGACTGTGTAATGTTGTGTTTTATGACTATGTTTAATGTTGTGTTTCATGACTATGTATAATTATTATGTTATAGTTTAATAGCTATTTATCACTTATCTTTTCTCTCTCTCTCTTTTTTTTGTGAAAATGTTACTCACATTTAGTATTTAACTACTCACAGGTAACATAATCCATGTCTGATTCAACGGCAGGTTGGGGCGAGGGTTGGGGCGAGGGTTGGGATGAGGGTTGGGACGACGAACGGTCTCAATTACTTCCTGTTTTACATGAACACACAACACAGGTATCACAGCTAAGTGTGTTAATGGGTCAGTATGTGACACCTTTTCTATGCAAACAACCATGTAGAACTACTGAACAAATGGGTTATCTATGGGTTCAAGAACTTTTGCATGGGCATGAAGGACGGTCTAAGGAAATGTTTCAAATGGAAACAAAGACATTCCATCGGTTATGTTCTAAATTAGTTGAACATGGGTTGCAAAATTCTAAGTACATAGGTGTCCATGAATTTGTTGCCATGTTCTTGAATACAATTGCGCATGGTCAGTGTAATAGAATGATTCAAGAAAGGTTTCAGCGTTCAAGAGAAACTGTTAGTCGGCATTTTCATAGAGTGTTGGATGCTTGCCTCAATTTATCTCGAGAAAATATCAAGCCCACTGATCCTACATTCTCCTATTGCCACCCAAAAATAGCAAATGATCCACGATACTTCCCATTTTTTAAGGATGCAATTGGCGCAATTGATGGCACCCATATAAAATGTCAAGTTAGTCAAGCTAGGCAAGACAAATATTTTGGGAGGAAGGGATTTCCGAGTCAGAATGTCATGACCGTATGCGATTGGGATATGTGCTTCACGTTCGTGTTGGCGGGCTAGGAAGGTAGTGCACATGATGCTCGTGTCTTTCAATCTGCTATTTCAACTCCATCCATGAATTTTCCTCATCCACCTGAAGGTATATTTCTGTAAATTTCAAATCAATTATTTTAAAATTAAGCTTCAATTGTATTATTTTCACCTCAACATAATTGAATCATGATTTTCTAGGCAAATTTTATTTGGTTGATGCTGGCTATTCATCACAAGTGGGATATCTTGGCTCGTACAGACGTGAGCGCTATCACCTCCCAGACTTTAATCGTCAGCCAGGATTTAGAAATGAGAATGAGGCCTTCAATTATTATCATTCAAGTTTGAGATGCACTATTGAAAGAACTTTTAGGGTTTGGAAGAATAGGTTTGCAATCTTAAGAGACATGCCCAGATTCAAGTTTCAAGCACAAGTTCGCATAGTTTGTGCAACAATGGCTGTCCATAATTTTATCAGGCAAAGTTCTCCAACTGATGACCGCTTATACAAGCTGAGCGTGGAAGTATAATAGATGAAGACAATAATCATCTAGCTGGTGAGGCATCCTCGTCAAGTTTAACATCTGCCGCACAAATGAATCGTGTTCGTGACTCAATTAGAGACCAAATTGTGGAAAGCTTACGATCTAATTAGTTATGTGATTTTATTTACTTTAATTAGAGACCAAATGAATTTTAATTTAATTTATGTTTATGTTCGTCCATTATATATATTTAATTAAGTATGATCTAATTACTTATGTAATTTTATTTACTCTAATTAGAGACGGAATGAATTTTAATTTATGTTCATGTTTGTCCATTATATATATTTAATTAATTATCTAAAATGTGTTTTTAAATTTGTCTTGGTAACAAATATTTTTATCTTATAATCTCACAAATAAACTATTTTTATTTTATCATAATAATTTTAGATATTTTTTAACAATTATCACATTAAAAATATCAAACACTACTATTTAATAAAGTATATGTCTTTTTTAGTCATTTTACAACTGAACTAACTTTTTTATTCATCCAAACAACTTTTAACTTTTCCAACTGACTTTTTAAAAGCACCTATCCAAACATACCATAACTGACTTTTACTCTAACTTCAGTTACAAAAGTCAGTTGGACTATGAATATACAGGTGAATAGAGCATTCAATACAGTGACATTAGAGAGTGAATAGGACGCTCTCTCTTGGGTTTCGTGCTAGGTGCAAAGAGGGTTACTTGAACTGCCTTTTGTGATGGTTCCGGCTGAGCGCCTCTGTTGCCCACTGCAACGGAGGAAAAGTGAGACTGTGAGAGCCTTCTTTAAACTTCAGAATGGAGCATTCTATTAATGTTCCGCTATCGGAGAAAGGAGAAAGAACACCGCTTGTTGAGGAAAACCGCAATTCAAAAAAAGTTAAGCTAAGAGACAAAAGCAAACAGGAAAATGGAACGGAAATGGACACTGAGGAAATGATGATAGCTAATGCTAATAGTTCAGGGGAGGAACTGCAGAGACAGCTCTTTATGGAAAATGACATGGAACGTTCACGGGTTGAATCGGTTCAAACCAAAACAATGGACGAAGATTTGCCTTCCAAAGAACCTGTGCACCACAACGCAACAGGCTTTATCTCGTTCAAGGAGAAGTTGATGAATGCCGGACTCAAAAACCCAGGAACCCAGAACCAAACCGTGGAGGACCTACATCTTGAAAAAGAAGACATCAGCGTTTCTATTGAAGGGCATATACCCACTATCTCCTTCTCGCAACGTGCAAAGGAGTTTATGTTCAACAGCATGAGATATGCAGTAGTTGTCAAGATTCTCGGACGCTACGTCAGACAAGATAACCTATACTCAAAAATTCTGAGCATGTGGAGACCTCAGAATCCCTTCAAACTGACAGAACTCGACTGAGGATGCTATATGGTTAAATTTACCAACGAAGCGGACTACATCAACGCCATGACTGGTGGACCATGGATGATTTTGGGGCACTACCTGACAGTACATCCGTGGGAACCCTCATTCTCTCCCCTGAACCTTGAGATAAAACATGTCTTTGGCTGGGTTCGTCTCCTTGGCTTACCCTACCACTATTACCACAAGAGTGTACTGAGAGCCATCGGTGAAGTTATTGGACAGGTCCTTAAGATAGATTACAACACAGAAGGTGTCGACAAAGCTAGATTTGCCCACCTAGCAGTTAAGATCGATCTTACCAAGCCCCTAGTCTCCATGATAAACTTGGATGGTAACACACAACTAGTGGAATATGAAGGTCTCCCGACAATATGCTACCATTGTGGCAAATATGGGCACTTAGAAGCGTCATGCCCGATTAAAATGCAGTCAAAGGCTTCCGATCAGGCCACTCCGGAGAGAGAACCTCAGGCTTTGAAAAACCCAGAAAACCTACCTGTGAACGAAAGGGAATCGGAGCGTGAAATGCAAGCGCATGAGAATCGTCCATTCGGTGCATGGATGAAAGCGCCTACTAGGAGGGGATGCTCAGGACGACAGACTAGGCAAACTTTCGACAGCCAAAAGCCTCAAGAAACTAAGGGTAGCAACAGGTTCGATTTACTAGCATCCTCGAAAGATCCTACAGAGCACAAGCAAGGCAAACCTCAATCTGAGCCACCCTGTGAAACGACAACGGCCACCCACTCTGACACAAGAAAGGCAAAAGATCCAAGATATAACATAGCCAAGTCAACGTCCTTCAAACCCAAGAAACCTCCCAGACACTCCAGTTCCAAAGTAACCATACCACCAAAGCCTTCTACTGACTCCATCTTCAGTACCATTGCCTATAAAGCTACAAGACAACCCACAACCTTAGACCCCGAAAAAAATACCGTTGTCGTTATAGAAGAGCCAAGAGAAGCCTTAAAAGCAGTTGTAGGCCAGCCCACAATCCCAGCCGAACCCACCACATCCACAGCCCTGCCTGGAAAAGAAAACCTGTTACCCAAACCACTAGATGGAAGCCCAACAAAAAGTGGATTCAAGCTTCAGCCCAATGTTAAAATAAAAAACCTGAACCCCAAAAAAAGAGACGACACTGGTACCATTTCGAATGAACTCACAAAGGCTCTAGCTGCAGCACTTGGTTCCTCCATTACACTAGATGATGACGCGGTGTTTCTGGAGGCCTATGGCTCGGGCTTAGATGATGATACGACTTCTGAAAGATCTGAAATGGATCATTAACATGGTGATTCATGGATAGCTCAATATTTGTGTGGAACTGCCACGGGGCAGCATCTTTGAAATTCAGAAGAGTATTGAAATCCCTCCTATGGGGGTACCGTCCTGATCTAGTAGTCCTGGTAGAACCTCGCATTTCGGGCATGACAGCTGACAAGATTATAAAAAAAATGGGATACCCCTTCTCTCACCGTATTGAAGCCAGGGGTTTCGCTGGGGGCATCTGGATGATTTGGTCAGACAAAATAAAGGTAAATGTCATAACTAATCACCGTCAATTTATCCATTGTGAAGTAAGAGAATTACTGACTGATCAAGTCTTCTTATTCACGGCAATTTATGGGAGTCCCAATCCAACTGCTCGTGAGAAACTGTGGAAAGATCTCCTAAACCTCCAAATCAGGCCTAGTGGGGCCTGGCTCATTGCTGGTGATTTCAACGCGACAGTAGAAGCAAGGGAGCGTAAAGGAGGTGCAAGAAGATTACAGCAGGGCTGTAAATATTTCAAGAGCTTTATTGATGAGGTAGGCTTACTGGATTTGGGTTATGTCGGCCCAAAATTTACATGGCAGTGTGGGGGACTTTTGGTTCGTTTGGACAGGGTGCTAAGCAACGAGAAATGGCTAGAGAAGAATCCCTCCACTCAAGTCATGCACTTACCAAAAGTTCAAAGCGATCATCGACCTCTTCTCATTAAATCAACAGCCAGCAAGCCACAAGCTCAACGTCCTTTTCGTTTTTTGGCTTCCTGGCTCCTGCACCCAGAGTTCTCAACCCTGGTCAGAAAACACTGGGATACAGGAAGGCGGCTCACTGAATGCATCGAATCATTCTCTCTTGAAGCCCAGCAATGGAATACCCAGGTCTTTGGAGAAATAGGACAAACTAAAGCAACTTAGGGCCCGGCTATGTAGAGTCCAAAAACTACTGGAGGAAATGCCATCGTCAGCCTATTACCTTGATCAAGAGCACGAGCTAATAGCAAAATATGAGGAAATCTGCCTCAGGGAGGAGCTCTTGTGGTTGCAAAAATCAAGAAGCCAGTGGATTAATGATGGTGATCGCAACACCAAGTACTATCACACTAATGCCATTATGCGACGAAGGCAAAATAGAATATCAATGCTCAAAGATGAAGAGGGATTGTGGGAAGCTGACCAGACAAAGTTAAGCTCCTTGGCCTCAGACTACTTCAAAAATCTCTACAAGGTTGACAACTGCCCTTCGTTACCTTACACCACAGCAGGTGCGTTCCCCGTTTTATCTGATTTCCAACAAGCTTTGCTTGACTCCCCTGTTACTAAAGAGGAGACTAGACAAGCTCTTTTTGACATGGCCCCTCTGAAATCCCCTGGTATTGATGGTCTTCATGCTTTATTTTTTCAATCTCAATGGGATGCTCTGGGTGACTCTATTTTCACGGAGATCAAACATGTTTTCGAAGGGGGAGGTTTAGACGAAGCTTTCAACCGAACACTGATAGCTCTAATCCCCAAAGTGGAGACTCCCTAGTCAATGAAGGATTTTAGGCCCATCAGTCTCTGTACAACACTCTATAAGATCCTCACTAAAATTATTTCCAAACGGATGCAGCGGATCATGCCAGAACTAATCCTGCCCAATCAATCCAGCTTCATTAAAGGAAGAAGTATCACAGATAACATCATTGTAGCGCAGGAGGCTATACACTCAATGCATAAGAAAACAGGAAGGACAGGTTGGATGGCAATTAAAGTTGACCTCGAGAAAGCCTTTGACCGGTTGAAGTGGGACTTCATTTGTGATACACTCAATGATGCTAGGTTCCCTAACAACATTGTGAGAATCATTATGGAATGCATTACCTCCTCCACCATGCAAGTTTTATGGAATGGAAGACCTTCTGAACCTTTTAAGCCACAAAGAGGAATCAGACAAGGGGATCCCTTATCTCCATATCTCTTCGTCCTATGCATAGAACGTTTGTCTCAAACTATCCAATATGCGGTGATAGACAAAGCATGGCACCCTATTAAGCTGGGCAGGAAGGGACCCCCTCTATCCCATTTGTTTTTCGCAGATGATCTTATCCTGTTTGGTGATGTAACTCCCCACCAAGTCTCCCAGATCCAGAAAATTCTACTGGACTTCTATAGCTCCTCGGGCCAAAGAGTAAACGATAGTAAGTCAAAGATTTACTTCTCAAAAAACGTGATGAGACATGAGGCACGGGCTATCTGTGAAAAATTAGGATTCCAACAAACTGATAATCTGGGCAAGTATCTTGGAGTTCCTTTGATCCATCAAAGAGTCACGAAAGATACCTACCACTACTTAGTCGAACGAATTCAGAGGAAATTACAAGGATGGAAAACACATTCTCTCTCCCTTGCTGGACGCATCACTCTCGCAAATTCTGTGCTCTCCACCATACCGTTGTATGCAATGCAAACAACTTATGTGCCCACTTCAACTTGCAACAAAATCCATTCAATTATAAGGAATTTCATCTGGGGCTCCACTGAGAGCTAGAAAAGTGTACATTTGATGAGCTGGGATAGTATCAGCCAACCAAAGGATAGAGGGGGCTGTGGAATCAAGGATTTGAGAGGCCAAAATACAGCTTTCCTTCTGAAGGTAGCTCATGGTATTGTGAAACAACCAAATGCTTTTTTGGTTCAGGTCCTAAGAGCAAAGTATGGATGGAAAGAGGGGCAAACACCTTCTACAAAACAACAGAATGCTTCCTACCTTTGGAGACATCTAGGCTCTATTTGGGAGGAGTTGAAACTAAGACTCATCTGGAGCCCAGGAGATGGCCATCAAGTCAAATTTTGGTCGGATCATTGGGTAGGGGAACTTGGTCCTCTCGCTAATTTGTCTTACAAGCCACTAAGTGAAGATGAACTCCAACTACCCATAAGCAGATTTGTTACAGCTGAAGGTTTATGGGACTGGGCTAAGTTTGAGGATCATTTACCACATGATCTTTTGGGCTTAATAGCACAGATTAAGCCGCCAACACTTACGAGCGAACCTGCAAGGCAAAGTTGGAGCCTTACTGCCAAAAGGGACTTTAGTCTTAGCACGGCATATCACTCAATTATGGAGGGGGAATGGAATGATGAAAGTAGAATATGGAATTATGCTTGGAAATGGCCAGGGGCGCAGAGAGTTCGCACTTTCTTATGGTTGACATTGAATGATAAACTCCTAACCAACGCAGTTAGCCTGAAACGCCATATGACTACAAGTGACAGCTGTGAAATTTGTAAGAATGGCGTGGAAGACATCAACCATGTGCTGAGGGAGTGCAAATTCACCAGAGATTGTTGGAACCTTCTCATTCTTAACGATCAGCAACATGAATTCTTCTGGTATCCTTTCAAGGATTGGCTGACTCGTAACTTGGGAACTCACACCTCGAACACACGCTGGTGCATTAATTTTGGCCTGCTCTGCTGGAAGCTCTGGAATGTGCGTAATCGCCATCTCTTTTGCTAGGAAACAGCGCATCCAGCACGTGTGGTGCATGAAGTTTTGGCTATGACTGATTACACTATTTGTGCAAAAGACAATCACAATTTACTTGCTTTGTTTTAAGTCGGGTTGACCTGTAATCGTGTTTTGACTTTTTGTATTTACTTGTTTCCTTTGAATAAATTTTCCCATTCAAAAAAAAAAGTTAGTTAAAGTAGAAGTCAGTTTTGTCTGACGCCAATCCAAAGATACCTGAAGTGCAAGTGCTACTTCGAGCGCCTGTAACGCTACAAGAAACTGTTCCTCCTTTTTCAATTTCTTTTCCTTTTTCTAACGACAGAGGAACGGAAGGAAAATCTTCTAGTAAACATTCGAACTCCAAATTTCAGACATCTCAATCTTTTTCCCCTCGTTTCGTGCTGCCGAGGAGGAAAGGGGAAAATGGGAGTCGGAACTAGTAACTTTGTCATCAGATGGATCAACTTTTTCACCATGGTATGATTCTGATTCCTTTCTTCATTGCGTCTTCGTGCGTGTATCTTTGTTGATTCTTATACTTTAATGGCGATTCTGAGCTGCATTTTGGAAGCATGCCCATTTTTATGCGTGACCCCTTTCTTAATTGTTTTTTTAATCGTCTCTAAATGGGTTTCGCTTCGTCTGCTGGATAGTTCGTTTGGACTTGCTCCATTTTCTCTAGTTTTAATTTTTTTTCCCTTTCTCCACCTCTCGACGCAGCTTATTCGGTCAAATGATTTTCAGGGGTCTTATATATAATTGTTCGCGCTTATTTGCATTCATATACAGCTGAACATGTTCAAAGCTATGGTTTTTAGATGTTTTGTTTACTTCTGTTCTAGCTAGTTTAGTTGGTTGATGGTAAGTTAGAAAAGAATTGTTGATGAAAAATGATGATATCAGACCCTACATCATGAGTTTTACAGCAAATAGAATTGATCTATCAGTGAATTAGGACATAAGTAGTACTTGTTCTTTATTTATTTATTGGTTGATGCTTAATATTCTCTTTGTGCAGCTTTTGGCTGTCGCAGTAATAATATTTGGAATATGGATGAGCAATCATCATGATGGCTGTAGGAAGTCTCTCACTCTGCTAGTGATAGGCCTTGGAGCATTCATCTTCATAATGTCAGCCTCGCATTTCTTATCAACTTTGCTGTCTTCTTTGGTTGGAATATTTCTTCTTGTGGATTGTCCTCTAATCCAAGCTTTTAACTTTTATAGATCTGTAATTGGTTTCTTTGGTGCCTTAAAAAACAGCTCGATGCTGTTATGGGTTGTATCCTTATCAGATGAATATGTATGATGGTTTCATACATTTCTAAATTGAATCTTGAACCATGCTTCTGTAAGAGAGTGGCATATGAGAGTGTAATTGTGTACGGGCTCTCTGGTAACTTTCCCTCTTTACACCCATATTCTATTTTTCCTTGATTTCTCTTTGAATGTATTATACACAGACATTTGACCTGTAGGGTATAAATCCACTGCCACTTACCAAAACCTTAAAGAATTTGATTTTATATTCTCGATTCTGGTATCATCCTTGACATTTCACTTGCAGTATCTGATCACACTGTGCTTCATCTTAATAGCTATTCTGGTCTTCACTGTATTGGCGTAAGTATGCAAATTCTTTGACGACATTCTTGTTGGTGTCTGTGTTGCCCTTTGGGCCTTAAAAGTTGCCCCTGCCATGAATTCACAAGTGACTTGTGCATTTACCTTAGTATGACAGCTGGATGCCTGGATTTCCATATGATTTTTCTGCAATTAACATGCCTCAACAGATTTACTTTTTTTCTTTTTAATTCCTTTGCTGCTTTAAATGTTTTATTGATTTATTTAGGCATTGAGGTCTTGATATAGGCGCTTTATTTATTAGCTTTGCAGAGCATGTGATCTCTTCATAGTTATTTTCTCATTACCACTTCGGTGGCAATTTTTTGATGTATGAAACATCAATTGATGTTACTGATTTCAAAGAGTTGTAAACAACTGATAACACGGAGAGTTAACACAGTTAATTATATGCAATTAATCTGAAAATTGAATTTTCAAGGAGCAGGGTAAAAGCTACTGTGATTTAAGTTTATTCCTCACATTAAAAGTCAACCATAATATTCTCAATTAAGGAATTATATGCTAGAGTTTAAAAGCAAAACATGTCTGATGAAGTGTTGTCAAAACTAGGGCAAAATACAATAAAATTTGGATGTGTGTTTCATTATTTATGTTTGCTATTACCTACTCATTTGGATTTTGGATACTTGTTTGTGTCTTGTAATCTCATCATTGTGTCAGGTTTATTGTGACTAATAATGGATCAGGCCATAATGTGGCTGGCTTGAGGTAAGGCAAGCACTTGATATATGTATACTTCATTATTGTCCTTCAATTTTGTAGTTCACTGCATATTGGTGGCATTTTCAATTTATCCCCGTTACTGCTTCACTATAAAAAAGAAGGAATGTCTTGTCTTGTTAGGTACAAAGAGTATCAACTGGAAGATTACAGCTCATGGTTCCTAAAACAAGTAAGTTTGTAGAAACCTAGGGAACTAATGCTAACGCAATAAAAATTCAACAACCTTTTGATTAATCTGTTCTTTTTGTTTTAGTTGAACAATTCTCATAACTGGGCTCGCCTGAGGAGTTGTCTTGTCAAATCTGAAGACTGCAATAAACTATCAAAAAAATACAAGGTCCCATGATTTTGTCATGTTACTAAAATTAACTGTTATGATCTGCATGAACAATTCTCATTTGTTCTCTTCCCAACCTTTGCATTTTACAGACTCTTAAACAGTATGAATTAGCTAAATTGACTCCAATCGAGGCTGGCTGTTGCAGACCACCTTCAGAGTAGGTTCCGTTTGCCTTCCTTTCTCAAAGATTTCTTTGTTGACGACTATCTCTTCAGATTAGTTTCAGTTATGTTTTGACTAAAGTTCACCTTCTGGCCAATAAAAACTAACGCAGATTACTGACATTTTTCCATGTTAACTCAGATGTGGATATCCTGCTGTGAATGCATCATACTATGACTTGACCTTTCATCCAGTTAGCCCTAACCATGACTGCAAACGGTACAAAAACTCTCGGGCCGTCAAATGCTATGATTGTGATTCTTGCAAGTAAGCATGCCTGGTAGCCTATCCCATGGCCGATGTTCCAACTCTTTATATGTACAAGTTAACCAACTGCTCTTGTGTTTTCCTTCTTTTTCCAGGGCTGGCGTTGCACAATACATGAAAACTGAGTGGAGAATTGTCGCAATATTCAATGTTGTTTTATTTGTGGTGTTGGTAAGACATTCCTGCACCTTTTGTGAGATTCATCAAATTATTTCCAAGGATGGTTCCTCGTTACTCTACATTGTACCAGCTCATGAGCTTGATCTGCAATCTCTGCATTAATCAAGTAAATGCATAAATTATATATAGAAGAGATAGATAGAATATGAAGCGAGCGATGGGGAAAAAGCAGATCCCATACACATTTTTGATAAAGAAAAATATATGATGAGTAAGATTTTCTAACGATTCAACCCTAAATTATTAGGTCTTTTGAAGAGTTTCTTTCATATATTTTCACCAAAAAACTTCAATCAACCCAGCATTGTCCAATTTAGTAATCAAGTGTGCATTTCCTTGCATGCCTTAAACTTGATTTACTATGTGATGTGCAATGGCAGTCTATTATATACTTTGTGGGATGCTGTGCAAGACGAAATGCTGCTAGGAGCCATTCTAAGGCTTGAAGAGAGAATCTGTATGCTTCTTCTACAAATTGCCAAAGGGAGATCAATGTCTGCGGCATTTGGTTTATACTCGTGTAATGACTTCATAAATCTTTTAAATCCATTTGCTAAAAGAATTGTGTGATTTTCTGTACCCATGAGACCTGCCTTGAATTGTTATATCATCAAAACATTGATATTCTTTGATGTGTATAGAAAATTCAAATCGAACAAACTTACTGTGCATGGCAAAGTTTAACCATCCAAAGTTTAGTTTATACTTTATTCCCTTTGGAAGAAGTACTTGTGTGGTGACTTTATAAATTTTTTTATTCCATTTGGTAAAAGAATTGTGTGATTTTCTGTACCCATGACACCTGCTTTGAATTGTCATATTATCAAAACATTGATATTGTTTGATGCGTATAGAAAATTCAAATTGAGCAAAACTATTGTGCATGGCAAAGTTTAACCATCCAAAGTTTGTTTTATACTTACCGTTTGGAAGAAGAGAATCAAGATTATCTCAGGTGTGATTTCTGGTCACTTATGCTACAAAATTAATTGGAATACATGTAACTATGGACCTTTCAAAATTGAAGTGTGTTTTAAAAAAATTGGCATTACATGTAAAAGAGAGCTGATTAAATATCTACCTGGAACTGAAGGTAACATTATAAGGTTAAATACGTGAATAAGATTTACGGATAACCCGTGTCTCTAGAGAACAAGAACAGTGCAGAGGATAAATAAACAAATGAGGAAAACCCCATAATATAGACACACACACACTCTTTAGTGGTTTTAAATGTAACAGCAAATATAGAAGTGAACTTGAAAGAAAGGCTCGATCAAAAGTGTAAAAATCCGCTAAAACTATGTTGAACTAACCTAGAAAGGCAATGAGCAATCAATGCTCGTTTTACTGCAAATGTCACTGAATTACATTTATTTAGTGTGATAATTTTTTTCTTTTTCGAAGAGGGGTAATATTGAGTGGCTAATGGCTACTTGGTTTCGTTAGCGATATAACAGAAAACAGAATATGTCAACACGTCGTCAAACTTGAACGATATTCCAAAGCGATAGTTGAAAGCAATATCAGCATTCGATATAGATCTCATTGTTGATGTGTTTAAAATTTGTTTGTATCATAGGTGTATAATATCACAACAGCCCCTTTTGGACTAGTAACACTTAGCAGCATTAGGGAATATTTTCGCCCTTCTAGATGACCATATCTGCCAACTTCATTTTGTTCTCCCGTTCACAGTTGAAAATGTCTTCCAGCTACGGCCCTCATTCTTACATAGATTCTTCTATATTTGAGTAATGAATGGCCAGAATTGCACTTTGCCAATCAGCAAGTCATGATCAAATACTCGCAGTAAAATGATTATCCGTATGGGACTTCATTGAATTCTTGCTGCAGATTCATCAATTTCAGGATAAATTCTGGAAAAGCTCTGGAAGATGAGAATTGGTCAATTTGGTCCTCTTGGTAATTTCATTCTTCTTCTTCTTAGTCTTGGATTTAGTAGATATGCCCTGGATTTGTGCAGCACTCCTCCTTTTTGCTGTATTGGTGGCAGGTTTCATCCCGTTCTTCTGTAGATCCTTCTCTACGTCAAGCATATCGTGAGGCAATTCGACTCCCCGGAAAAGCTGTTTTAGGTCATCATCCACTTTAATTAGAACTCGGGGATCATTAGGGTAGGCAATGTCTTCCTGTGAGTCGAAGTTGGACAACAGCCAAATCTGCCCTGCAGCTTTCAGAGCCTGGAAAAGAACAAGCATAAAATGTGTTAGTCCGTGCAAAACAAATTATTGGAATAAATTTAATGAAACATCATTTACCAAATGTCGAGTCATTCATTCGATTGTGGATATTTTTATGCCAATATTATCAAAATAGTTCAATTGAGTTTTGCTTATTCTAATAAAAGGTACAGAAAATGCACTCAACTTCTATTAGTACCTCTTATCTAGTTATCTAATAGAAGAAACTTGCTTCTCTTAAACATCAGCTAAATTCTTTCTCGCATTAAATTCAATCACATATAAGCATCATGTAAAAAGACTAGGGAGACTAGCAGGAGAGGGAAGCTTCATGAGTTTTTTCTATTTTCGAATGTAAGCTAAAACTTCATTCAACCGAAAGAATTACAAGAGTATAACCAACCAGTTTATATCATGAATAAGCCTAGCTAAGGTGTTAGGGCTTTAATTAACCTCACTATACACAACAACAGACACCTGCCACCACCTGTTAATAAGGGATTGAGTAATCCTAATGATATCCTGGTAAGGGTGGGTTCTATTTTGGCCTCTAGTGATTATATTTATAACGCTTCTGAACAATCACTACAGACCTCCATTTGCTTGAAACCCATGTCCTAATAAGTTCAACCCCCGAAATCATTCCTCCACACAAGCTATAGTGCCACAGATAGAAAAGATCCATCCACATCTAACCTCACAAAACCCTCCCAATCCCACCTATACAACTCTTTGTTGGTCATTCTTCCAAAGGATTTTCCATAACCAGCAGATGTGTACCTAAGTGGATGGAGAATCTTAACCCAAAAACTAACTGTTAAGATGGGAGAATCAACCCACTTAAATATGCCATTGAGTATCCCATTATATTCAATGTAGGACTTAGCATCCCACACTACCAAGTCTCCATCACTGGCCTTAAGCAAATCAACAGGTTGCAACGACTAATATGAATAGCAAGAGAGGCTAAAAAAAAACATTCAGGCTAGTACCATAAACAGCAAGGATTTGTATAGATCCTTCAATGAAACATAAGAAACGTCTTAATTTTCTCGGTAATTTTCATAATGTTTCAAGAACAACCAAGACTTTAGGAAAGTTGTAAACTGATCCCACAATGCCCACTACTGTGCAATGTTAATGCACTGACATAACATTTAAGCTTCTTCGAAAAGAACACTGAATTTGGACTCAATTGTCTCAAAAGCTCATAGTCCACAGAGAAGCAATTAACTTTATGGTAGCACGTTGTTTGCTTCTTAATCTCAAAGCAACATTAGAGTTAAAAATACATCTATAGCCAATATCCCTCCAATACTGATAGATTAATGTTCATCAAACAAAAAAGAAACTAGAAAAATCCTTTACCTGCAAATCGCCCATCACAGTTGGGTAAGAATCCTTCAGGTCAATAACAGGAATGCCCTCCGGAAACTTACGTATCAGGTAGAGGAGCTGACTTTTTTCCTTAAGGTCATGCTTTGACTATACTCCGTATATGTGACACAACAGAATGGGTTGTCATCGTCTAAAGGAACATCTGAGCATATGAAGGTCCAAATTTGTAGATGTTACCTTGTAAGAGAATCGTTCCCCATCATAGTGAACTTTGGGGTTTTTCTTCAAATTGTCAAAAACATCTTTGTTAGCCCTCATGTCCACGTAGCAGGCCTCATTTATTTGCTCAGGTGTAAAAGCCTGTCTGGTCTGCAAACAAGCAAGAGCGCATCAATTACCATTATAAATTCATCACAGACACCTATAACTTTATATATGGCAGACACAGGCAAACCTAATCATACATAACAAGAAATTATCATAGTAACTCTTCAAATCAGTGTTCTATTAAAAAGCAGTTTGAAAATTGCTAGCATTTGATAACACAAAGAATGTTAATGCTAAGTAAATTTATCATAGCAAACATCAGTTTGGCATGCCTCCCTTTTCTGCATCCCCATGACAAGTTAACCAATAGAAGATTTCTTTGTGATCAACAATTAATTAAGGCATGCTCCACTATAACTAACCCATCAGCATGATTAAATATTATTTGAAGTAACTTTTCCAGTAACAAGTATTATCATAGAGTTCATTGTCAACTCTCGGCCTCTACCAACTCAATAAGTATACGATTTTGCAGTAACATGGAGAACATATAGGATTCGACTTTTACATTTTCAAAAACTTCCATACCGGCCATTACTTTAATAAAAAGTGACAGCAGTTGTTGCAAACTTAACATGGTAAAAGATCAATCTTTGGGCATTCAAGTAGGAAGAAAATACAAAAAGGGTAGTTTAAATAAATACCTCGAACAACAGACCAATGACACGCTTCATCTGAGCTCCTATAGGGGCTTTCCGAATACTGTTAATATGTTGAAGCCTCTCAGTATCATTTGAAAATTTATTAGCAGGAGCTTGAGTTCTTCCATTGGAAGAAGCAGATGCAGCTGTAGGTGCTGCGGACTTTCTAGTAGATGCAATGCTTAGGAGGGTTGATTGACACGCTTGCTGCTGCTTTTTAAATCGGTCTAACTTTTCCTGTAGCGCCATCTGAGATTAAAATTGCTGAATCAGAATGATCAGAATATACAACAATTAGGACTAACGTTTTAAGATCAAAAGCAAAGCGAATCAACAGGTAAAACTGCGGACAAAAATTTTGAATTGCTGTTCGGAATTTTTTTTCAAAGAAAACTAGATTCTTGATCAAAATTGAGACCAAATCAAATCGAGGCAACAAGGGACGGAAATACGACACAAAAATGCATCATTCTAATGCAATTTGGGACAGAAGTTCGCCATATATTCCTAATTATCATCAGCAAATTCAATAACTCCGAATGTGGAATTCGAATAACTTAATTCAAATGATCGTACAAAGGGGCAAACACAAATGAAAAGATCAAATTTTCCCACCCAAAAAAAAAAAAAAGGTGGATATCGCAGATCATTCTATAATCATAGAGCGGCATAAAAGGGTTTTGAAATAAATGGACCGAAAAATGTTGACGCAGAGAAAGATGGACGTGAGAAGATCCGACCTTCAGTATCAGATTAGCTTTGATGATTGATGAATTGACGCGTTTGAATGTCAATACGGTAGAGAAGTCAAAGCCTTAAAAGGGGAAGAGGTTTTTTCAAGAGTTATATGGGGATGAATTTGGCGAATAACGCGATTTGGCGACGAACATGGCCCGTTTGGTTCATTGGATCACAGGTAGTAGAGTCTAACGTAATAGTAAGAAACGTAATTTGAAAAACAAGAACCCGGCTTCTCTCCTGTTCTGGGTTTCGTTTCATATTGGGAAATTTTATTAATTTTAATAATCATAAAAATTAAAAGACCAAAATATCTTCATCGTAAATTTTCCTCCTCCTTCCCTTCCCATCAAAATGTGACATTCTTCGTCTCCTTCTTCACAGCGTCTTCTTTCATGCTGTAATTCCTATTATGAAGCCTTAATTGGGAAACTAAAACGTAACCCTTTTTTTTTTTTTGTTATTATGAGAGCC